TGCTCACTGTTAGACTTGCTATTAATTTCAGCTGGTTTGCTTGTCTGCTTTCCTGGTGCTAAACTGAATGCTGCCCTGTACTCAAACAACTTCCAAGCAAGGGCTACAAGGTGAAAAGTTTTCAGATGAAACTAATCAATCCAGCTAATATAAGACTAATGCCTAACTATGCAAGGCACCTCCACATAGGTTGAAGGCTTGGTCACATACAATGTAAAATATGACTGGAATGTCTTTCCAAAGATGTATTTCCTTTTCCAGACCGTTGCTCTCAGCTGCTTATTCAAAGCTCTGGTTTGTGTGGCTCACATTTGGAAATGGCATGTTATATACTTTTTTCTTGATAAATGTAATTCCCACAATCTTAAAATCCTGAGGCTTAATGTCTGGTGAACAGGACTCTAGAGCCCAGATTCTCCTGATGCATCATTACACCAGTAGTTTAGAGAACGACACTACTGAGGCTGGAGCCTTTTTCATGGACTAGCATGTTTGGAAGCAAAATCTGGTTTAACAGGATTGCCTGGGAGGCGTAGAGCCATAGAAATAGCTCTGTGTCATGGCTTGGCAGTGAAGCCAAGGGCCTGCTGAGAGGGATGAGAGGCCAGAGGACATGGCACTAGGGGTATTTCTGGTGAGGAAACACTGCCTGGAGCCAACAGAGAATGGAGAGAGCAAGAGAAACAAGTCACCCATGAGATAGCTTGTATTTGCTGATGTTTCTCAATAGGTTAAACCTGGAAGACACTGACAGCACTCAAATTTGCCTTCCTGAAAATACCAGCTTCATTTTTTAATCACAAAAAATCATGAGTCTAGCTGGCACTGAATATAGTTTGCTCCCCTCTTACAAAGTAAGACCAATGCAATTTCATGTGACTGGTGTCAGGTAATCAACTACCCATAACTGTGTTCTTACAACAGCCAGACTCAAAGTCCATGTTCCACTTGCTCCATGCACCATGTCTATGGGCTGTAGGAGTGGGTAGGACTTGACATTGGCTCTTAGTACCATGTGCACATATCGCCTGAAATCTCTAAGACTGGAATTTGAAAGGTGTTTTGATATATGTACAGCTTTGGTTGAGATTTCAGTTCCTAGAATGTTTACCATTTTCAAGAGTCTTACACCAGCTTCTAACAATGATTTCAAAATAAAATTTAAAATTATTATTTAAAATATGCATCAGGCTGTAGCTTATTTATCTTCTCTGAAATGTACATGTGGCTGTGCAGATTCTCACACTAGTCTCTGAATTTGTGCCTGGCTACCGGTCGCCTTACAGCAATTTATATCTGACCAATCATAGGAACAGAGGCACTCTCATCTCTTCATCATTCCCAGAATTGGTAATGCTCTGCTTATAACAAGAATAATCACCAGTTTTATTAAACACTATGATTAAACAATTATATTCAAAGGCCATAAAACATTAAGGTTAAGATGAAACATTAAAACATCTCTCCTAATGTAGCCAACTGTGATACTTTGTCTAATCTAAATGGATGCAATTTAGCTCTGTTAGTCCCTTGCAAACCATATCGCTCTCAGCTTCTGTAGGAAAAATACCTCCACTGGGCCTAGAAATGGCCTGAAATGGAAAAAAGTGGCTAGTTTTGATTTCTCTTTATCTTTCATTGACATTTAATTTCACTGTATTAAGTGTTATTACCTACACTTTGGAGCCAGGAAGAGTGAAGGATGTTTTCTAAAATCTAAAAGCAAATTAATGGTATCCTTTCTCTCCAAATGGTTTGCTTCCCCAGAGACCTTTCTTTGACAGTATGTGGAGCTTCCGTTACATACAAAGGATTGTTCAGATGATTTGATCATTGTTCTTAAAACTGCAGTGTTTCATTTGATTTCTTTCAACCTAGAAACTAGTCAGCATGAAGGCTTTTTACGAATGCAGGGGCAAGCTCTGTTGTTTGACCAAACAATTGGCAGAACAAGGAGCTGTTGCATACCGATCTGCCATAGCAGAAAGAGAGCAACAGTTCGGGTATTTTCACAAAAAGAGGAGAGATGTTCTCTAGTTTTTCTCCATATTATTGGTTAATTAACTGCTTTAATTATTTAAAAAAACCTGTGATTTTGAATCCAAGTTGAGCATAACGTATCTCTTTACTAGTGGAAAATTATATGTACAACTGACTAGACCAAAAAATGAGTATTCAAGGCTTTCTTTCTGAGAGTACCAGGTAATAAAATCCTGTGTAAAGATACCTGCTGACTGACAATGAAACAATGACTAAAAAAATTAACAAGAAAAAATTCTTGCGCATTTCTGGCCTTATTCTGTTGACATGCATTTAATGAATGCTGCTTACTTGCCAGAAAATGAAACAAATAACTGCCTTTGCTTTGGCAAATCACTGACTGGCTCAAGTGCTTTTCATGAATTAATCTTTCTTTTTATTAATGCAAGACAGAAAAGATGGAGATCTTGTGACCAATAATGATGTGTGAGCTCCTTCTGCCTGTGTTCTGCAAGGGAGAAACACTGCAAGTGACTAGCAGGGCTTGGTGTTGCCATGCAGCCCAGCAAAACAGCCCACTGAAAAGGCATGCTGACCCACTTTCAACCACCAGCCTTTGCTGACCGTTTGTAGAGTGAGAAGTTCTTCCAAGTTTTTGTTGTTTTCACCCTTTCAGCTCTCATTTCTAAAGGAGCAAGCCTGTCTTTCTCCTCATTTTTTTTCTTTCTTCCCCAGCATGCATGGAAGAAATGGAGATTGTTTCTTGTTACTCTCTTTGCTTTAGTTAATTTTAAAGACAATCTTCCCCCCTCTTCCCTTGTTAAGGACATGCCTTGGAAGAAATATGGATCTTGCCATCAACAAAATTATGATACAGTTCCTTAAGGAACTGTGTCTGATCAGAGTAATTCATCTATGAAAAACTGTACTTTAATTGTTACTCTTGGCAACAATGAAGGATAATAGTGTAACATTATACTAAATATTGCCACGTGCAATAGTAAAATACTGTTTCAGTCTTGCCAGCAGCAGTGTGCAAACCCCCTTTTGAATTCAGGTTTGGATGTTGTGATTTAATCTAAATCTTTTGCTTCTCCTTCTTCCAAAACCAACAGAGGTTTACAGAGAGCTGGCTTTTTATTGGAACCATTTGCTCAGCCTAAGTTGCCAAAATAATTTAGTTAAAACTAGTGCTTTTATTTAGGTTAAAGTTGATTGCTGAGCTCCAGAGAGGTTGAGGCACTTAGTTTGTCTTTCTCTTTTTTCAGTCCACCATGGAGTCTACAGCAGAGCTCTGCCAGGTCAGGTTGTGTTTCTTGACTCCCAGTAGAGCTTATCTATGTTCATGATTTTGCACAAGTGGAGGAGAAACCTTTTTCACCCCTTTTCCTCGCTATGTATCTGCTACAACAAATATTAAAACATGTGGTTCCCAGGATTCAAATTAAGCTAGCTGCAGTGGCAAAACAGTGCAAGTCCTGCTGCCGATGCTGCTACTGCTGGAATATTAGTGTGACTTTTCCTCTGCTAATGAGTGACAGCTGCTGTGATATGCATCATAGGGTGTTTGCCTCTCTTGGGAAACAAGCAGAAAAACACAAAAAGACAGAATTTTGAAAGTGAGCTGGAGGAAAAAAAACCTCCTCTATTTTATGCTACTTGAAAACTATTGCTTGAATTTCAGATAGCTCCAACAAAATGATAATACAGTCACAATCTTCTGCCAAAACTATTAAAATCCTGGGGTATGTTTCATAATAACAAATACTGTAATGTTATCATAATTAAGGAAGTATCTATTTCTTACTGTATGTGTTTTTACGTGTGGGCATGTACTTTTTGTAAATGGGACAAAACCAGGCTCTTGAATGTCAGAACCTTCACATGGTGAAGGGTTTGGAGTCAAATGCCCGTTTCTAAATCTATCCTCTGTAGTTAGGGTCTGGTTTGGATCCAAAAATGAAAGGTTTTTTTTGTTTGGTTTAAATTCAGTTGCAGCAGAAATGCCATAGGTCAGAATGATATATTAAAGAGGCTCTATGGTAGCAGTGCCTTGATCTGGAATAGATTAAAGCTAGGCTTCAGTTTTAAAGTGGAAACAGGGAAAAGATTTGATGGTTCTTATATGTTATATTCTGCTCCTAAGAGATCCTGGCAAAAAAGAGTTCAAATCAATACTTATGCTGATCTTAAAACAGTACTGCAGTCTTGGGCAGAAATGTCTTGAAAAGAGAACCAGAAATAAGCCACTCTCGGGTTTTTTAGATGCAATCCAGACTGAAAGCAGTAAGAGTTTAGTGAATGGGAATCAGAAGCAAACCCATGTTGAAATACAACATTGTATGAATTCAAGGTCCAGTTTCACCCATCTGGAAAATATGTCTTATCTAGTGGTACAATTGTTTACTTCTGCTTGCATTACAAAAGATACAGCCTAGGGAAGAAATTTTAATATGCAGTTATAAGACTGTACAAAATTTTAGAAACCTACATTACAGCTGATTGAAGAGTATGATTTCTGTCCCATTAAAATCCTGATAATTCAACATTTGTTTTTGTCCTAAATCAGAGAGCAATCTTAAATATTAACAAATGTAGGGAGAGTCATATAAAGCAGAAATTTGAAAATACTGTTTTGTCATTTTTAATCAAAATGGTCAATAATCCATGGGCTTTATCCGATAACTGCTACAGCTTCAACTCTAGTCTATTCTATTAGTATACTAGCTATACAAGGAAAAATTTAAAAACACCTGATTTACTTAGTTTTCTTCCAGCAGTGCACAAAGTAGGGCTGAAAGGGACTACCAAGATCTGGCCAATATATTTGGTAGCTGCTGGTTTTGTTTTTAGTTATTTTAAGAGCTTTTCTTTATTAAAGAGAGGACAGGCCCCTTTTGTTAATGAAAGACTCAAAGCTAAGCACAACACAGGGTCAAACAAACTACTTGAGACTATTTTCTCTTCAAAAATGGCAAAAATGATTTTGCCTCTGATGGTAAAGAAGAAAGGAAGCTCACCCTTATAACCAGCCGCATTGGTTTTCCAGTCGTTAGCATTCAGATGTCCTGCACGTGAAGTCCTTACAATAATATGCTGTATGTCTCTCCAGGTCAGAAATGGACTATGAAAAAGGGGGAAGACAAAGTATCAAATCAGACATATTTTATAAAAATGGAGGGATAAAAGGTCATGTAAGCTAAAAAAAAAACAAACCAAAACAATTCTAATTTCTCATCCCTGCTCTCCTTTGCTCCATTCAAAATAATGTCCTAATTTTACAGAATTACTATATCAAACTATTTATACAGCTCAGAGGTTTGCATTAAGCAGACTATAAAGATATATAAGCAGTATTCCACTGTATGAAACTTTTAATGCTTTGCTAAGCAAGGGAAGATAAAGGAGTACATTTCACCCAGAGGCAATTCATATGATCACCAACCACTGCACCTGGTTACCTACCTTGACCAAAGGGGAAAAAAGCAAAATGATGGCTCACTGAAAAGCTTTACTAAATCTTAGTAACTACACCCACAAGCTGGCAATTTCTTTAGAGTTTCAACTCTTATTTCAGATGTCTCTGTTGTTATTCACTTGTCTATTGCCGCGGGCCTTGGAATTCACTGTGGCTCCATTGGTGTTTTTTAAGAAGTCCAAACTACCAACACCAAATTTGAATAGTTACACAGCAAGTGTTTGATAGCACAGAGGTAAATTCCTTTAATGGAGTACTAATAACCTGTCTGCTGGGACACTGAAGGAGGATGCCATTTGCATCCTCACTATGGAATTAATACCCATTTATCTTGTAGTAACAGAGGAAATCTGTAGGGAGTGTAGTTTTCTTGTTGCTCTTGGATCCATGGTCATAAATCCCAAGGAGAATTTATTTTCTTAAAAGACCATTTAAAGGAGCATGGCCATAATAGGGGTCTTTTTAATTTCTCCTTCTAATTTCTCAATTTTTCTATCATCTGTAAGAAGAGAAATAGTATTCCATTTAAAAATGCAGTTAGTGGAGGGAATGATATGGGTGACTAAGGTGACTAAATAACAATGAGGAAATAAGGACTGTAGTTCACACCACCAGTCACTCAGTATAATGCTCTGAGTATCATTATCTGCCCCTATTGCCCTCAACAGCACAACTCCATTCAGTTGTAATGATGAAGACAGACCAGAATGAAGTTTATCAGGCTCAGCATTGGTTGTCCACATTGCCCAAGGCTAGGGAGTCATTGAAAACCTGGAAAAACTTGGTTCAATTCCTTAACTCGTGCTCTGTCACTCAGAACAAGCAGTCACTTGGGCTGGCAGACAAGCAACTTCTTCCAGGCACTCATGCTTAGGGCACAACAACATATACTCAGGCCCTGCTCTCCTACCACATCACCCTCCTCAGTTTCTCTGGCTTCCACTCGCAGGTGGAAACTACTATAGGAGTGTGGGGAAGGCCACATGAATGATTTGAATAGGTCACTTTCTGGGGCGAGGGGGACATTGCCAGCATATGGAGTGACCCTACACTATTACACTGACACATGGTCTGGTTACTAGAAATTTCAATGAGAAATATCTTTGGGAATTAGACATGGGGCAACAAGAAACTTCCAGAAATATCTTATTCTTCTATGGGCCCTCCTGTCATTGGAAGACATGGAAAAATCTCACTCATCTCTCTGTTGGATGTGCACAGCTAAATATTGTGTGGGTTGCCTCCCCACCCCACCAGTGTTTCATATCTTCCAGAATTTGTTTTCTCAAAAGTATGCCTTTTTGGAAACACTTGAGTAACCACTGCTCTATGACGCTTAACTATGGAAGTAGAATCTTACTTCTCCTGTGAGCTGAAATTAAGCTAGTGGGAAAAAATCAATGAATACATGTGATAGTATAAAGAAATGAGTACTTTCTCTTTCTTCCAAGCTGCATAAATTCAGATTTTCAGATGACAAATTTCACCTTCCACAAACTGGAACTTCAGGAGAAGGTAGTAGGGACACAGAAGTTATTGCAAACCTACAATCAACCTGTTCCTAGAAAAACTTACCCCTTTCTTATCTCCAGTGCACTTATAGACATATCTTGATGGGTATTAACCAAAAGGAGTTTACCTGTCTGGGTGGAATTACAGAAAATGAAACCCAATTATGTTTCAGAACCATGGTCCATAATTCTATATAATGGAGAAACATATGGGACATAAAGGACATTCACTCACATATAACTGATTTTTACACATTTTACTTTTCAATAGACACATAATCCATAAGCTTGAAATCAAATAAGAGTTGCCTAAAAATGTGGCACTTCTTTTATGCAACTAGGTTGTATGGGACAATCCAAAGTAGGGTACCAAACCATTTTACTGCACACATTTTTCTTGCTTCCCTTGCAGTAGTACCATTTTATTTCTGAGTGTATCCTTTCCTTTACAGAACATTACCCAGGGGGTATGTGGGGTCCATGCTATGCTGATGTAAACTAGCACCTTTCTAGGTACAGTTGGGAGATCACAGGAAGCGGTGTATATTTTCCTGGAGTCAACACAAAAGTCCTGCTTATGCTAGCTGTTGAAACATGAAGTGGAGCTGGAATAATCTGAAGAAGGATAATGATTTATAAGTGAATATCTTCTTTATTGCATGCAGATTTCTTTTTAATTTCTTCTTAGCTGTATCACTTTGTAACCATTTAATTTCTCCTCTGTGTCTCTGTATACAAGGTATGAGAGTACTCTCATGTTTAAATTATTATTTAAGGAGAGCTGAGAGAGTTGATGCCTGGCCCTGAATATTTATTAAAACATTAATATGCTCATAGATAAAGGATTTTTTTCTTTAAGGTGAAATTTCTCACACTAGACAGTTGGACTACAATTACAGTAATTATTTATCCAGCTGAGCTGGTAAAAACAACTGCAAAAAAAGGAAATGTCATGGAATGTAATGAGCATTAAGGACTTGTAAGATAGGGTATGCTTGGACAGTCACGTAACATGCTTCAAGAAAAAAATCAATAACATTTTCAGGAATTTCATTTGGAGTCTGTGTAAAGTCTTAGAAAAACATGTTTCAGGCCTTCAAGAAGACCTCTAGGAATCCCAAGAGCTGCATTCTTTATAATCTGGAATCTAAACAATCTGTTATTTCATAAAGCAAGCTGTCCATGCTTCTGGTGAAAAATAATGTACTAAAATGCTCCTCTGAACTTTAAAAGGAGAGATTCAAGATAGGGCACATTGAACTGATTATTTAAAGAGGAATGGAGGATAAAGGATATAAGGATATAGTAGCCTCCACATGATGATACTAAATTCTCATAAATTGGAATTAGTCGTTCAGTCAGAAAATGAGATTACCCATCAAAATTACAGTTTACTTTTAAACACAAAAACCATGGCAGATCTTGAAAACTGAGCCATTTGCTGTTATATCACAGAATCGCACAGAATCACAGAATGGTTGAGGTTGGAAGGGACCTCTGGAGATCTAGTCCAATCCTCCGGCTCAAGCAGGGTCACCTAGAGCATATTTCCCAGGATCACATCCAGACGGGTTTTGAATATCTCCAGGGAAGGAGACTCCACAACCTCTCTGGGCAACCTGT